TTGGCAGTTCTGCCATTTGCTAGCTCCTCCCAATAATGTAGCTCCTATTTCACAGCCCTGCAAATTGTTTTTAACTCTAGCTAAAAACATTATCTCAGGTGTGGAAACATTTAACCCAGGACAGGTAAACATCAATATAGGCGTAGAAATTATTTTCAATAAAACATCCATTGGATGCACTATTAAGAAGCTCAAGAAGGCTTGATTTTGTTTTATGAATCTGAAAGGCATGTACATATAATTCTAATGACTACAGGACTAAGAAACAACATTGCTTAACTATTTTGCCTAGTCTGCTGTGTTTTCAATGCATAATGTCTGATACAGTGAAATAACGACTGTCCAATAAAGTTGTATTTGCTTTTGCTCCAATCTTAAACTGGATGTTACAGCCTTATCCGTAACATATTAAGACAACTTCTAGTATCTTTTTATCTGGACAAAAATGTGTGTTGTATTATATGCTTTTATGCACTACACCATTTCCACCTTCCTTTTCAAAATGCTACCTCTATCCATAGTGGTCAGGCTACTCATTTTTTGATAACTATTCCTTAGCTGCTAATATACCAGTCCACTGAATGTGCCCAATCTTTCTATGTAGAGAAAGCAAAAAAGTTTTCCCTTTGGGTATCATGAACCAACCACAAGAACAGTGTCTGAGACCTTTAGATCATAAATTTCCCCTTTCAAACAACTGCTACTCCAGAGAGATGGGAGTCATTGAAACATCTTCTCAAGAACATCTGTACCATTCATACATGACCAAAATGACGTAGCAGGCATCTTCTTTCAAGCACCCATGAGCTCGGGGAGGAATATGGTCTCAATGTATCAGTGTAACTCTTTATTGTCCTCCAGTTTGGTACAGTATCTATAATACACAATCTCATTCTCAAGAAGAGAGCTAATGTAAGAGAGAAGAGTATGAGTCAGATGCATAAATATTATATATTACCTAACAATAGGAATTCTAATAATAAGATACAAAACCACATTGCTTCTTTTGCAGTGTTAATAGTACCTCAAATCTTTCTTCTTTATGCCAGCTGCCACTGAGTGAAATGAGACTAATGGTGAAGGGTGAGATCCAGAGGGGAAGTTAAGGTGCCTAGAATGGCACTGAGTTGTTTAGCATCTAAATCCAAAAAAAGCAATCTGGAAAAACCCTGCACTCTTGATCTCCAATCCCATTTGGCATTTAAATGTACCTATATTTGGCACTGTAAACTCCCGTAGTGCTTAAACTCAGGCTCTGCACATGCATTGAAATACACTGGTCTGAGCATCCAGGCATATAGGGTGCTTGTACACATGACAATGTCATGATGTATACATGATAAAAATTTCCCTTTGTGTGGCTTAATGGTGTCACATGTACCTGAGTTTTGCAGGTTTTAAATGAGTTTGCATTGTTGCAAACTAAACTACATCCCAATGTAGTTTAGTTTGCAGTGATGCAATTTGGAACGATGCGGCCATTAGTCAGTTCACCCCCGGCTGTGGGAGAGGTGGGCAGGCTCCATGGGGAAAAAGGATTGGGCCCTTCTAACTTCACCAGGCTCCTATGGCTGGTAGGACACCTGGGGCTGCCTGGGAACAGGCTGGCTCGCCTCTGGGGCAGCACAAGAAGGTGGCAGGAGGGTGGCTGTGTTTTGTGGTGGCTGGAGAAGGCAGTGGGCATGGTGCATGGGGAGCTGGAAGCCAAGGTGGGTTGTGAGATGGCTGGGTGCTGCCTGAGCTTGAAGGTGCCCGATCCCATGCTTCCTTTAGCCTGCCCAGGCTTCTGGTGCCCCATGCACCATCCCTGCCACCTTCTGTGTCTGCTAGCACACCCAGCTTGCCCGTGGGGCAGTGTTAGGAGGGTGACTGGGTGTGCTGGTGGGTGGAAAAGGTGGTGGGGATGGTGCACAGGGTGCTGGAAGCCCAGGTGGGCTCTGGGGAGTGTTGGATCAGGTCCCTCTGAGCTGGGGCAGCACCTGGCCAGCTAGCAGCCTGCCCAGGTTTCCAGTGCCCTGTATGCACTATCTCCCCTGTCCCCAGACACCAGAAAACCCAGCCACCCTCCTGCCATCTTCCTGTCCTGCCCCAGGGGCAAGCTAGCCCATTTCAGGTGACCCCAGGCACCCTGCTGGCTGCAGGAGCCTGCTGACAGCATAAGCAGCAATCCTTTTTTTTTTATTTTTGTTTTTTTTCTAGCAGAGCCTGCCCACCTCTCCCATGGCCAGGGGCGAGCTGAGAAAGATTAATGGTACAGATTAATATCCCCGTGGCTACAGGATAGGCAGGCAGGCTCTGCCGGAAAAAAAAAAAAAGGATTGGACACCTCGCCACTTCTGCCTTCAGCAGGCTCCTGTGGCTGGCAGGACAACCATGTATATAGTGATGGAAATTGAAAGAGTGAGGTTTAAATTAAAAACTCACTGCTTCAATTTAGGGGGCATAGAATGCAACCTAAAGGACTAAACCGCTCTCACCCATACAAGCACCCATACGTTTCTGCGTCAGCCTCAGTATAACTCAGTTACAAGGCAGAACAGCACCATGGCAGAGTGGCACCACCAAAGTTCCCAGATGGGGGCCTGATCCAGTTGGCATGGTCAAAGCACATCTAATGCATACTGACAGCACTGAGTTCAGTGTAAGGTGAAGCAGCCATCGTGGCTTTCACTAAGAAATGTGGTAGGAATGGGTGCTTTCATTTTCATTTCTGTCTCATAGGGAGAACACCCACTCAGGAAGAAGGGACCTGGCTTTTTAGCTGTCCTTAGCCTGGGGAGATTCAAACTTACATCAGCTACCTCCCAAGGGTGTGAGTTTGTATTCTCCCAGTTTCCTGTTGAATTTTGCTATTGCATAGCCAAAAGTGCAAGCCTCATAGGGCTTGGAGGACAGCACTCATGATGGAGTTTGTACCTACAGACTAGTGATTCAGTCAGCCCTCGGCATGACGATGGTGGTCCTGAGCAAGGGCCTAACAAGTCAGCTCAGGACAGAGACAGTGGTGGCCTCTGGCTTCCACCATGCCACCAGCACAGGCATGAAGTTGCTGTGGCAGCTGATGTTTTTTTCATGCCCCCACCTCCCTAACCCAAGCTGGTGCCCAGGACTACTGCCCCGGTCACCCTGGCCTATTTACGCTACTAGTCCTGGGTTTTGGTCTCTGTCTGAAACCCTTCCCCTGGTGTCTGCTTTCAAATATTTTCTTCTGAGGCCTTGATATCACTAACAGAAGTGCCCTGCAAAAGGGAACGTTGAAGGAAAATCCCAGAACTAGCAAGTTCAGAATAAATGTGTGCAAACAAATTGCTCTCTCATGCAGACACTTCCCAGGGCTGCAATGGGGTGAAACATCCTGGTTTAGGTCAGATTTACCTGCATTCAAGGGAATGCAGCATGTGATCACTACCTTTCTCCTCAAGGCAACAGGGGTTTCTGAGGTACCCTATTTATATGTCTATGGCCAGAGATGATAATAAGTGTTTAATTAAGCCATGCAAAATGGAGACCTTTCAGTAAGGAAAAATGAAAATAGCCTCCCAAAGTCAGAATGCCAGATCACACACAGCTTTGGCGATATAGTTTCAAATCCCTTCAGCAAAAGCAAGAATTGCTACCAGATCTCCCACATCCCATACCTGGGCCCTGGGTGGTATTGAGCTGCTAGGTAAAAGATGGACACACCGCCTGGTGGCTTTGTTTTGTGCAGAGCCTGATCTGTGAGGCATGCTGTGAAAACATATATTCAACTGGGCTCTAGAGGGGTGAGATAGATGGACAAAGTCAAGTCTGTGCACCACAAAAGGTTTTTGGTGAGAGGTGCTAAACTGCCAAGCTTTATTACTTCGGGTTGTTTCTGGACATGTCCAGTAGCACAATGTTAGGTGCCTGAGCAACTTTAATAGTAGAAACATAGGAATCTAGTTGCAGATCCAGAGTCTGGGTACTTAATATCTGTGTGTGGCAGTACTCAGTACTGAAATGTCCAAGTTATATGGATCTGGGCCCTTAATTCCACCTAAGGGCTATTCTAGGATGTTTTATAGACGTAGGTCCAGTCATATAAAGTAGGAGTTAAGCTTCTAAGGGCTTGTTCACACCATGCTGGCAGTATATCCCAGTTGGGGAGGCCGGGAGCCTCACCCACCAACTTAGATACTCTCCAAACCAGCAAGTTGGCTGGGCAGGATATTCAAGGTAACCCTTGAACCCTGGGAGCCTGTGTGCTGGGTAGCAGCTGCTACAGAAGACCCACCTCTGAATTTGGGGCATGCCTACAGCTGCCTGTGGGCAGGACCTGGGTGCAGCATGCTTAGGTCCATCCAGGCTGGTACATGTGCACTCTTAAAGCTTTTTGTGAATCTCCTAAGTCTGAGGCAGGACTAGCAACAAAACAAAAGAGGATATTTGCCCTTGTTTCTAATATTTGGCTACACTGTATTCGGTAAACAACAATGAAACTTTCCCTGCTACTTGAAGCTTATCTATTAATTCTACAACATAAAGCATTATTAGTGTAAGCGCAGGGATATTTCCCAAATGAGAAGGTTTTACATTCAGTGCCTTTCTACTTCTCTGTAAATTACAGTGCATAAAATTCAGTAGTCAGCAAGACGTGCTGAGGATGTGTCTAGAAGATGATTAAGGCTCCAAAAGCAGAAAGAAAAAAAATGTTGATGACTATCAAAAAATGAGAGAGAAATCAGTATCAATATTCAGGGAACATGAATGATAACTAAACTCTTTATGCGGAGTGGAGTGCTCTAGTTATGTCAGCCCTTGGCAGGTCTAAACTGTGACCAGCATTTACACAAGGCAGATGTTAAGCTGTGTCGTTTACATAATACTGGCAGCATTGCTGAAGAAATTCTTCTGCAGAATGGTTCTCCTCGTGCATAAATTCTGCCCAATTTTTTTTTTCAGAAGGTCTTTAAGTATAACCATATCTTCCTGATGCACTGGGTGTGACTGTCTTCATTTGTCTTTCTAATTCTCTACAGCTATTGTTCTCAACTCAGCAGGATGCTACAGGTGTGCCACAAGGACAGAGACAAAGATGCTTTGGAGGGTGTCAACTAAGCACCCCCAGTACTTCAATGACAAGAGGCAGGGTAATGGTCACACCACACCGGTCTATGGGCACTTCCTCAAAAACAGGGAACAGTAGGGTGAGCACAGTGCACATGATCAGGGGGCGGTTTTCAAACCAACAAGAGGAAGTTCCGTTTTATGCATTGCATAGTTAACTAGTGGAACTCATTACCACAGGAAGTTGTAATGGCAGGTTATAACCAGGTTTTAAGAAAAGGGATTAAATAAATCCAGAGAGGATTTGTCCATTGGGTGCTATTGAATAGAATAGCCAAGAATGTACTCCCTACCATTCCTAAACTCGGGAGGGTATGAGAAAGGCATGTAGACATGACCTGTTAACATATTCTCCCTCTTATGCATCTACAACTGTAACTGCTGGAGGCAGGATATAGGGATAGATGAGTGACTGGTCTCACCCAGGATAGCACTGCTTATGCTCTTACAATGGGTATGCTAATCAGATCTGCAGAAAGGTATTGCTAATCAGCATGGACATAACACCAAAGTAATACAGCTTTATTGTTTCCAGTTCAGAGTTAGCTTAGATAACAATTAGGGCTGTGCGAAGCTTCGGACCCTGATTTGATTCGACAGAGATTTGGCCCAATTTGGTGGCCAAATCTCCAAATCTGAATTGAATCAGAGGACCCTTTAATCTCTGTGAATCAAATCAGAACCCTCCAAATTGATTCAGAGAAATTTGGGAAGATTTGACGATACAGACACAGCTTTAAATGTTTTTTCTACATACCTCAGGGTACCAGGTGGCTCGTGAATGCTGACTTGCTGGGGCAGATGGAGCATCTCACAGGAGCACGGGGGGCGGGGGGTCAGGCAGTGCATGCGGCAGCAGATCCAGAAGTGGACCAGAAGCACTTCCAGTCCACTTCCGAGTCTGTTGGAGAGTGTGCAGGGGGGCTCCCCTGCATCCCCCCTCCAGCTTGGCAACTGGTGTCTCCTGGATCTGGGGGGGGGGGCACCTGGGGTCCCCCTGCAGCCAATAGCTGAGCTGGGGGAGCATGGGGGGGCCCCCACATGTTTGGTGACAGGCCCAGAAGTGGACTGGAATTACTTCCGGTCCACTTCCAGGTTTGCCGCCGAGCAAGCAGGGGGCCCCCCTGCGCTGCTGTGGGGCGCTCCATCTGCTCCAGCATCACAGCGTTCATGAGCCGCACCTGGTACCTCGAGGTATGTAGAAAAAAACATGTAAAGCTGTGTCAATGGCCGAATCACTGATTCTCCGAATCAGCATCAAATCTTCAAGTTCAGATTCGGCCAAATTGAATCGGGGACAGTGATCGAAATCAAGTAATCGAATCACTGTCCTCAATTCAGGCCAAATCCAAATCAAATACAGCCCGTTTGGCACACCCCTAGTAACCATGCATAGTGCTGCTTTGTGCCAACATAACACTGCACTTTACTATAATCCCTCTAGTTATATCTAGACTACTTCTAGTTGCACCTATATTCCTTTTGGTTCTGGAGATCATGTGGATCACTTTGAAGGTGCTCACAAGGTCAAAAGCACTAGTCTAGGAGACACAGACTAATACTGAGATGAGTTTGAATATCGTCTTAGGATCTGGTTGCTTTTCATAGATTTCACAGACATTAGGGGTGGAAGGGACCTCACGAGATCATCACCTCCAACCCCTGCCGAAAGGGCAGGAAGTCAGCTGGGGTCAGATGATCCCGGATGAGTGGGCATCCAGGCATTTCTTCAACGTGTCCAGAGTAGGCGCTTGCACCACTCCTGGGGGGAGTCTATTTCAGACTCTGGAGACAGACTGTATAGACGTTTTTCCTTATGTCCAGTCTAAAATAGTCTTCCAGCAGTTTGTGACTGTTAGACCTTGTCTTCCCTTGGGGTGCCCTTGTGAACGGATATTCTCCCAGTTCCTGATGCACACCCCTTATATACTTATAGGCTGCCACCATGTCCCCCCTGTGCATTGTGTTCTCTGGGCTGAAGAGTCGCATGCCTCTCAGCCTCTCCTCATAAGGCCTGTTCTCCTGACCTCTAATCATGCACATGGCTCTCTTCTGGACTCTCTCAAGCTTCTCCACATCCTTTCCAAAGTACTGAGCACAGAATTGGATGTAGTACTCCAGCTGCAGCCTCTCCAAGGCTAAGTAAAACAGGAGGATGACCTTTTAGATCTTGCTTGAGATGCATTGGTAGATGCAAGCCAGGGTTTTGTTTGCTTTGTTGACTGTGGCATCGCTTTGGTGGCTCATGTTCATCTTGTGGTCAATCATGACCCCCAAGTCTCTTTTGGTTGTGGTGCTACTGAGTATAGCACTGTCGAGCCTATAAGTATGCTGTGGGTTCTTTCTTCCGAGGTGGAGCACCTTGCACTTCTCTGTGTTGAATGTCTATCTTGCAAGCCTTTTCATGTGAGTAAGCTACCTGCATAATTTAGTTAAGCAAAATTTAGATCTGTAGTCTGTGCAAAACTTTAGAAAGTATGTTCCTAAAATAAAGCAATAGAGATTGGTTAACAATATAAGAATTAGTAAAGTCATTAATATAGTTAATGATCCTTAATTACATAATGGAATGCCTGTTATATGATTCTTTTATTCTGTCAGTATTTCCATGCATTATTGATAGCTAATTAGGCACACATGAAAGAGCTGGGAAACTATTTGCAGCAAACAATTTCTTTGACAAATCTCACCTCTCTTTCTGTTTGCGAATTACTTATTAACCAACTTTGATTTTTACAAATTTCATTGTTTCTCCCAAATTATTCAGTAAACCTTTTATGTGAACATCTTTCAGCCTACGCTCTGGTCATGAACTACTTGCCGTGACTATTGCTTTCTGTGTATGTATTATTTTTAACTATTGCAGTGTGATGAATCAGGTGTCACATTCTGTTTTCTGTCTGGATGAACAAATCTAGGGAATAATTTGGCTCCCCTTTGTGTGCCTAAATGTCCTTTTTCTAGTGGCACAAGGGACTTTCTGACACTTAGGCACAGGCTGCAATTTCATTTCCCCTGCAATGTGGCTACTTACGCATATGTGTGAAGACGGAACATGCACAGTAGTTTTCACGCTGGTTGGGCATGCACGCAGCCTGGGTTCACCCATTCTGGGCAGGCAAGGGCTTCCAAGTCATGAAAATGTAGCAACCTAGCATGCTATGACAGAAGAGAACAACAGATGAGAATGACAGCCCTCCAATGGGTTAGACCTGGTAACTGAGTGGTTAGAATACTCACCCAGGAAGTAGCAGACTCAGGGTCTAAGCAACCCAATGTAAGTCTGAACTTATAGTTTTCTGACTTTCCAACAGAGTGCTTTAACTACCATACCACAAGTCAGGCACTACCCCAATTCAGGGCTCTTTTTGCAGGTGGTCCATGAGGAGCCAAGAGAGGGACATCTGTGGAGCCAGAAGGAAGCAGACCGGCTACAGCAGCTTTTCTCAACCCATGGGTTGCAACCCAAAAGTAAGTCAGAAGAATATATGAAAAGGTTACAAAGAAATTTTAAACATGGATCAACAAACTCTAAAAATTGATTCTCCCTTAAAGGAGAAAAATGTGGGAAACCATAGCTTTTCCATTGCTGGCTGCAGGTTGTCACTGGGGGCTGGGGCCTGAGGGTGGGGGGGCAGCAGGTCGGAAGTGAGGTTCCCTGGGTTGGGACTGGTCATAGATGTTTACAAATAGATCCTGGTACAGAAAAAGTTGAGAAGCACTGAGCTAGAGCGTATGTGGTTCACTGAGATAGTTGCACCCCCACAAGAAGGGAAGGAGCACTGGGTCCTAGCTTAGACTCTGACTCCCAGTGGGGCAGGAGCTTCTGTACTGCTATCCAATGACTACTGAATTCAAGGGGTGTTAGCTTAGGTTTGAAAGGAGGACTGTGAAGTAATCTTGATTATGCCTGACATGTGGGAAGTTCCACTCTGTTACTAGAGAGAAAATTACCTCATCCTCCTCCATCCATCTTGCTTTTCCTGGACTTATGCTTAGGCACATGTATGTGTCCAACCAGTGCATAGCCTACTAAGGCAGAGGCAGGGCCAAAAATACACAGGGAAATGTCTAGAAAAATGCCATTTAGGTGCAGAAAGGGAAACAGAATTCCACAACTGTTTTGGTGAGTCAACCAAACACCGAGTGTGAACTCTTGGCCTGGTCTGCATTCATACAGATATTTGCTATTTTGCCATGCCAAAGCATAGTGATAAAAAATAGAATTTGGATTATATCATTGCAGCAACCACAATTTTCCTAGATTAAGACAATCTATTGCTGTTTTTACAGCTAATACAAAACCCCTGACTGCACCAGTACCTTTTTGCACCACTATGGCTGTGCTGACAGTTACATGGGTTCTAACTGATGTAAACTATGGGAAAACAACTAAACTTAAGGTCCTACTGATACAATTTTAGAGCAGCTTCATCTTCCTGAATTAGACGTACTTTAGACATACTTTCTCAAGAGACTGGTTAATCATAAGTATTTGCTCTTCAGTAAGTTACCATTCAAATTTGTGCTTAAGGTTTGATTACTACTGTTATCCATGAGCAGAGCAGTAGTTAGCTGTGTTAGTCTGCAGCTAGGCAGAAGGCACAGTAGATACACACCTTATAACAGACTAGCTAAATAAGGGGAGGGAGAACAAGCTTTTGTGAACTCGTGTTCATGAAAGCTTGTGCTCTACATCTACCGTATTTGGTTTACAACATAACATCTACCCTGTCTTCTATGATTTTATCTGCACCTGTTTTCTAGCCTATAGAAACTGTTGTGGGGCTCATTCTAAAACAAGGCTCCTCTGTGACAAGCTGTAGCAGGGTAGCATCCCTGGGGTAGCCATAAGCCCCTGGAGGACCCCAAAAATTCTCTTTTTGCTCTGCTCGCACTAGGAACAGTCTCCCCTTTGCTCACTTGCCACACCTTGTTATCTGTTATGGTTATAAAAGGGATGCTGTCCCAGGGCTTTCCAGACCTGGTCTTGTTTTAATAACTACCTGGTGGCTGTGGTTCTTTGCCTCATGGGCTAATTGCAGGATTCCATACCCTCCCTATACTATGCCCCATGCCTCACAGATGGAATCATCATGGACATCATTGGTTGCATGTCTATACTCATGCAGCCTTCCTCTGGGCTCTCAGACCCCTGCTAGGCCTCACTCTACTCCTCAGCCCCTCACTGGCCCACCGGACCCTTCTGGTTCCACTCTCTTTGCCTTGCTCTAGGCTGCTTGACATCCTCAGCTCCTGTCTGGGCCTCTGGACCTATCTGGTCCTGGTCTTTCTTAGCCCCTGGCTGGGCCTCTGGGGTATGGACAGGGCACCAGCATATCATGGTCCCCCCCACAATCATCTATCCCCCTGCCAACAAGTGCCATCTTTTTTGGAACTGGAAATATGGTAACCCTAGCTTCTTCCATATATAGTAACCCTAGGTTCACCTGGGCCCCACAATAGGTCTCACACACTAAGCCCCTCTATCTGGGCTCCTCCTAGGCCTCACAATAGGGGCTCATACTTTGAGCCCCTCTCTCCAGGCTCACTCATCCTCCACCTGGGTGCCTATCCAGCCCCTTAGTTCCTACCCAAACCTCCAGACTGATTCAGATGTTGCACTTCCTGCTGACCTTACAAAGCTGCAGCCATCCTGTTGACTATGTTCCCCCAGCAAGGTCCAGATCTTACTGCTGGGTTTTTCTGAGGGCTTGGGCTTATACCTGCTCTCAGCCCAGCCCTGCTCCTGAGTCAGGGGACTCCCTCTATCAGACCTAGCCTCACCTGCTGGCTTCTTGGCTCAGCTGACTCCCCATTAGCCCTGGCCCACCCCTGCCAGTGGCTTCACAGGCTTCCTGACCTCTTAAAGTGGCATATACCCCAAGTTCACTGCCACACAAGACATCAACATTGTATATACATGGCCATTATTAAACATATATTGCATATCCTGTGGGAGTAGACCTGCAACACATTTAAGTTAGAATGTTATACATTCACTATAGAGGAAAAGTGGAACAAAAACATGACATACAGCATTTACTTTGGAGGCAAAGCTAATCTGCAGTGTAAAGTTACTTCTAAGGAAATTAGTACTCAAATAGAAAATTACATGGGAATCATAGGTCACAGATGGCCAGGGTTAAGGAGGCTTAGCCCCCTCAAATGCAGGACAGTGGGTAGGGTCACAAGAAGGCCTGTTTGTGGGCTCCAGGCAGCTGCAGCAGGGGTGGGGAGGGATGCACACACAGCTAGGATCACAGCCCGGTGTGTGGATCACTGGCTGCCCAGCACTGCAGCCTGTATCAGTCTGTCTGTTCTGTGAAGGGGAAGGTCCAGGGATGCGCGGGGGGGCTCCCATTGCTGTGTGCACCCCATGGGTGGCCCAGTGGGCATGTGCCCCCCCGGACCTGTGCATGGGGCTGAGGTGGCTGCTGCCGCCCACTGCACTTTGCACCTAAATGAAGCTGCAGCTGCTCCAGGAGAGGTGCAACACTGCTTGCCTGCCACCACTGTGCTGCACTGCGCACCTGCCAACCCAGCAGTGGGACGCACATGGCATTGCGCAGATCTGGAGGCAGCAGGGTGCAAAGTGCAGCTGCAGCCATCTCTGCCCTGCACACAGATTGTGGGGGGGCACATGCCCCCCCAGGCCTCTGCCAGGGTGCACACAGCAGTGGGAGCTCCTCAGCACCCCTGAACTAGCTGCCCGGGCTCTAATCATCCCATCGCCCGGCCCACTCACCCCAGCCCCTACCCCTTGTTGTGCCCTGCTCCCTCTTACCACAGAAGACTCGTTCTGCCCCGCCCCCTTCCCTCACAGACTTACCTGTTGAGGGGGGCAGAGTGCGTATGTGTGCTCAGCCCTCCAAATAATTTTTATCCCTCTGCCTCTGATGGGTGTACAGTGTTGTGTGCACACTTCTATTGTGAGTTGTACTCTGGGGTAGCTATCTGTTAAATGTACACTGGTTATCACCACTGGCACGTGTCCAGACACTAAGGCTGGTGTTACTGCTCTAACAAAAGATATCGGATTCACCCAAAGAACCTTGTCTGCCTATGTACTTACAACAACGTGGCTACAAGCTACACCCCTGAAACATGCTCAACTTAACACTTACTAAGTGCAGTTAAAATGTGAGAAAACCCACATTCAAGCAGTTTAGTTCATCTTAAATGCCATTGTGGCACTGCAAAGTTGCAAGCATTATCTAACATACTAACTTTAATACTTACTATCTCAACAGAGTCCCAGTGATTTGCAACTGTTGCAACTGACCCTGTGACTACACTATACCAGGGTCTACTTCAGGAAGCTAGCTTGGGAGACCTGGCTGTATGTCCACTTCTAACTGCAGAGAAAATTTTCTGCAGAGTAAAATTGAAACTAGTCTGACATTACCAGGAATATCCACATCCTGTCTGTGAGTTAAGTAGTTCACATATGAATATATGACTTCCTATAAGCTCATGAATAAAATATGTTATTTATATGCAAGGGAAAGTGATTTCTATGGGTGATATCTTTTATTGGACCAATTCCATAGTTTTGATAGACATAGACAAGCTTTTGAATACAATGTTTTCTTCTTCAGGTCTGAAAGAAAAGCAGGCACAGGGAAAGATTAAAAACAGTTTGTAGGGTTGTGGAATTGGAGAAGAGAAAATCCCAAAGGCAGCAGATAAGCAGGCCATTCACTTCACCCCCACCCACAACAACTTCACTTCCAACAGCTAACACTTCCTCCAAACCATAAGCACAACTATGGGAACAAAAATGCCCCTCAAAGATGACCCCTCTTCATAAGCCACCTGAGGAAGAATTTTTAAAAAAACTGTACAGCCACTCTAGCTGCATTACTGCAATGATATTTTCATCAAGTGGCCCCAGTATGGGCTTGGGAAAACTCTCCTGCTACCAAAGCTACCCAGCCCATGCTGGACTGATGCCAAGTTTTTCTAGCCTGCAACTTGAAAAGTCTGGCCACAGCACAGTTCTCCAGTATTTGAGGGTGCTTTGATCTCCCCCTTGCCCAGGGAGGCAGTGTGTTGCTTGGACTGGACTCGACTGCTCCAACTGAGCCAGAAACAGAACACTTCCCTTTCACAGTCCTAACAGGGATACCCAGGGTGACTCTGAGCAGTCTAGGTCAGCCAGTCACATGGCTGCCTGTGCACTGCTGCCATCTCTCTCAAGGCCAACTGAGGGAGACTGCAGAGCATGTTGAGATCTGTGCATAGAGGCCCCCTGACTCTGCAGTGTCAGCACTATCTCCTCCTCAGGACTCAACATTCAAACATCTGCCCAGGCATCTCCAGTTTAGTTTTTCTATCAGAAAAACAAACCCGAGAGAATTCTCCCCAGTCACTTGAACATGTGTCTGCTGCCACTGACTCTAAATTCTTGTCAAGCAGCATGGGTAACACACTGAATGAAGAAATGGGACACATGGCTTCTATGCCTGGTTCTGCCACTGAGCAATTGCTTGGCCTTGGGCAGTCACTTTAATTCTGCTTCCCTTATTATCCCTTATCCATCCTGCCTATGTGTATTTAACATCAGGACTTCAGTTTTGGTTAGATTTTCTGAGTACTAACTTATATTTTTCATTTGAATGAAAATCAGGATAGCACATAACATTTCCAGTAGCATTCCAGCTTCAAAGGTACAAACTAGTGGCTAGTTTGCAAACAAAGCTTGCCAGAGTGTAATACGCACTTAGATGTCAGCAAGTCTTCTGAGCTTTTCAACTAAATATTAAGAGATCTTTTAAGAAAGGTGATGTCCTTGACATACATTTTTTCAAGAGGCGTTTGTGTGTGCAAACAATTCCTTCTTTATTCAGCTGTCTTTTATACATTATGGGGTGATGTCATACTGAAAGGACCAACAGAAATACATCGGTACTCTTCAACTATAGTTACATTCGTATTCAGTCCTCATTGCCTGAGATGAGCAGCAATTTGCCTGGTTGATTGATTGTTCACACTGTGTAGGTGGTCTCAGTGGATTCATACAGACAGGTTATGCTTTGGAGATCATAAGCAGGGTAGATGTTAGATTCTTCAGGGGTCCGTTGTTCCAACAGCTTAGCAGAATCAGTCCATATATTGCTGCCTTTAAGACAATCTCAATGAGTGTGGTCTGAAAAGGTGATTTTGGGACTAATGTACATCTCATTCCCAATTCTGGTAAGTATGACTGGCTGAAACCGGGAGGAAATTTGAAAATGAATCAGTCTTGAAAAAAAATGAGGTATTTTCAGTTTTGCTCTGAAGTTATATCATAGCTACTCACCAAAAGAATGTGCTCTATAGTTACAGCTAATGAATTAGCATAAGAATCATTTTTATTTCCTCAAAAAAAGAAAACCCCCCAAAAACTTTTACTTGGAACTTATTTAATAAAATAGATAAAGTTTTAGCAAGTTCTATGAATGATATCTAAAAAATATCCATTTCATCATCTGTGAAGAAGGGTGAACAAAGAGGAATTAAAATAGAGAGATCTCAGGTGTATGCATTAAAATGTGTCCTTTGAATATTCTAAAGAACAGAGCAACTGGTAAGTGATCTCTGCAATATCCAATATTGTAGCAAATTATCTTATTTCCCCTTGCATATGAACCAAGTTAATTGCTGCAGGCAAAAAAGTAGTGTTAATTGTAAGTTTATGTAATAGAAAATCATCTACCTTCCTACCTATCTTCAGTATATCTTAAAATTACTGTAGGCTTTAAATTATAAGTGACAAGTGATTTTGCAGTACATCATTGTTAGGGGCAAACTCAATACATCTTTAAGACCTCAAGTGAACTCTTGGTTCCACTGAAGTCCAGAGCAAAATTGCCAATGACTTCACTAAAACTAGGGTTTCCCCCTCTGGTACTCAGTGCAATCATTGCTTTCATTTCATTCTGTTGTGTCTAGGAACCCCATGATCAGACTGAAAATACATTTGGGGTTGACAGTTCTAACTTTGCTTGTCCATTTTGATTTAGTTTTTCCAGAGTAGGCACAGCTCAGGTTGCCACTGCAAAACAGCTACATTGACAGTAAAACATCTCTACATCGGACACTTCTAAAATAATCCCCTTCTGGCAAGGGATGGGGGAAGTCTTTCCTTGAAAACCCCTGAACTCAGAGTTTTGGACACTTTCTCAAATAGTTCGCATTTGTTTTCTTTGCAGGGCGATGACTTAATGTTTTTAAAAGTTATCATCTGTTTTACATCATGAAATGTTGGTTTAATTATGGTCGGGAAGATATTTTTTTATCAGATGGGGCTCAGATGCCATGCTGATGCCAGATGCATATAAGAATCTATCTATCTATCTATCTATCTATCTATCGTCTCACAAACCTTGGCCAGCTAAGTGAGGCCAAGAGGATTTAGCAATGCTGCCAACCCCTAAGTTATGAATATGGAAACCCAGGTAGTGATCTGTCATTCTCTCTAATATAACGATGAGAAAAGTGAACCTAGACACAATGATTAGGGTGCAGATCATCTGTGACGTATGTCACATCAGCACGACTGCTTTTAGCTGGCATCTCTTATTCTGTGCACATTGTGTTGATTGACAGGGGCCCAACATGTTGATTCATGCTATTTAATTACTAAGTCAATGGCTAAAAAGGTTAGGGCCATCCATGATTTGATCACAGATGAGGTTCCTGACTTTGCATACATTACCAACGTCTGCCTGGCTGACACTGTAAAACCATTATCGGCCCAGATGTCTCCTCTGAATCTTGGCTCATGGGGGACTGAAAAATGGAAGACACACAACACAGATTCTTACTAGAGCAGACAAAGGCATGAAAACAACTTAGCAGCAGGAAGTGGAAGTAGGGGAAGTTTGAAAGAGAAATAGGGAAAGTTTGAAAGAGAAAAAAGAGACATATTTTTAAAAATGCGTGTAAACTTACCTGTCACAGAGCACCTAGGTGCCCTGCTCCTAAGAAGGAAAAAACTGCGAGGGAAGGAGCCCTAGCAGTGGGTAAGGAGCACACCTGTTGATCACCAGTGCGACCAGAGTAGTTAGTGCCCACACCTGCCAGCGGTCAGCTGACTGAAAGGGGAAGGGCCTGGCTCCCATATAAAGCCCAAGGGCTGAGGCCAGGCTGGCAGTTCCCTGCCAGCAGCCAAGGAGGAAGGAGCTCTCTCTCATGGAAGAGAGGAGAAGCCTGACTCAAGGAGCAGCATCTGACACAGCTGAGGGATGGAGTATTTCCCAGTAGGCTGGAATGTTGTCATGGCCGGGCGGCTTCCGTTTAAGTTATAGCCGAAGGGCTTGAGTTTTGTTTACTGTTTAAAACCGGTGGTTTGGGTGAGGCTATTAGGGGTTGGAGGAGGCCTCATAGGGGACCCGCAGCAGTGTGGGGACCCCAGCACCAGTGAGAGTGCAGCAGTCGGGGTGCACTGACCCCAGCCCCAGAAAGGGGGCAGTTGAGAGGCCCCAGAGAAGGGGGCAGCGTTATTGTGGAGAGGCCCCAGAGAAGGGGGCGGCATAGATGACCGCCAGAGAGGGTGCCAAGTGAGACCAAGGCCACGGAGAGCCAGAGCGCCAGAACTAGACAGGGCCACACAGAGCCCAGAGAGGACAAGGGGGGCGAAGTATAACAGGGCCAGGACAGAACAATGTCTATTCCATCTGCGAGGCTTGGGGTGTGGCAATCGGGTGGTTGGAGCCACGCATAGCCCATAAGGCTAGGGTGCCCCTGCAGCACCCATTGCAGAACGGTACCCATGAGGGGTCTGGGAAACCACGGCGACTGAGTGTCCATCAAGAAGTGACCAAGACGGCATAAAAGGCAGCCTCCCAAATATATGGTGTCATCAAACACATGGTGGGCGAGAATTTGAGGGTGCCCTTGGCCCAACTTGGCACGGGAAGGGGGCCTTGAGATCACGGCCCTTCTTCAGGACCCCGCACTGTGACATGACCATTGGAGCAACTCGCCAAAAAATGTGGGGCATTTGGGTATGCACGGCAACTCTAAAACACATAATGTACAACCTCAGCAAGTTGCGTGATTGGAACAGCCAAAATCATGGCATGAAATTAGCACCACACATTCCAGTTATGGAAAATAAGAAAGTTTATTAGAATCAAAGTTTTTTTTTTCCCTTTTTAAAAAATTTGTCTGAATAATTACTCATTCAAGAATAAATCTGAATAAAAGCAGTTCTAAAAATAATTAGTAATAAATCAGTAGCAAGTCCAGCAGTCCATTCATATTTTAAGAAAAACAACATTTAATCAGTTTAGGCTTGTGTTTATTTCATTTCAATGAGACTTAAACATATCCAATAAAAGACTTATGATACATCTATAAGGCATTACGTAGCACCATGCATAGTGATGAAGCCATGTCTGAATGAGC